GTGGTTTGTCCAGTCTGGCAGAGTACGGTTGCTGTCTAAAAATATATCGTGCGGCTGGCTTACGGAGGAGGAGTGGGAAGGTTTGCTCACGCACAGGACTTCTCTCGGAGCTCTGCACAGAGGAGTTGCATGCGGGAGACCTTCGACTTGTATATAAATCTATCTGCCCGCTCCTTTTCCCAGTTTCCCCGTGGAGTCTGTATTCCGGGGGAAACGGAGGCGTGGAAGAAATGGGGCAACGTCTTTCAGACCCTTTCACTTGGTTGGCATGTGGCTTTCCTGCCAGGGCTGACGCTGTGACCAGAAACCTCCGATCCGGCCGTGGGGAGCCCCGCGGTGACGGTGAGGGCTGAGCGAGGAGGAGCAAGAGGAAGTAACTGAACCTGTGACTAAGGCGGAGAGAATATCAAGGAAGGTTTTTTTTGTCAATAATGTTTACGGGAGTAGTTTCCTCGAGAAGGGCGAGAGAGTCAGACCTTGAGTCGCTGTGGGCTGGAGACCGTTTGTCGGGGAATCATGGACAAGGTGAGAGCAGGACGTGCTTTCAGATCCTCTCTGGCTTTCATCTGCTGTTGGGTTGAACTGTTCAATACATGGGAGGGAAATGTGCAGCAGCCGTTAGCTGAAGGAGATTAAAATTGTCGTCGTCTTTTGACTTTTGATTTAACTATGATCTTTCGAGCCCGTTTGATTGCATCTGGTTTCTGCCTAGCTTAGAGGATGGTGACCAGCACCGCAGAGGAGGTGTTTCTCCCCCACGGGCAGGAGCGGTGGCAGCGAAGGGGATGTGCAGCAGAGCGAGCGAGCGGAGCGGAGGCTGAGCCGAGCTCTTTGGGCACAGACAAGTCTGGTACTAAGGTCAAATGAGTGCTTTTTGTGCTGAGTGTGGGCAGGCAGGATTCAGCCTCTTACTCAGAAGTCGGGACACGGGACCTCGTCTGAAATCTTCCCGGCGTGACCTGATTCAGCATTCCCATAGTGCTTGGGGGATGCTTCAGATCCTTTGCCTTGTGTTGAGAAAAGAGTTTGCAGGAATCACTGTTGCTTACCCAGGCTGCGACACGCAAAAGCCCTTCAAAGCAGCTTCAGGCGAGCGTCAGGGTCGGCTGGGGAACACAACGGTGTACGTAAGGTACGAGGACGGGAGAGGATGAGATCTGGAATGCAAAACAGAGGGCAGGGAGGGAAGCCTCTTTGGATCCAGTCTCATATCTGCCTCTAATCACCAGGTAACTTGTGGCGAGTGACAGCGTCAGTGGCTGCTTGTGCACCTTGTACAGGAGTAATAACAAAAATAACCTCCCCAGGCGTCCCCAGACTCCGTTAATTTATCTTGGTGCCGTGGGCGTCACTGCTGTCTGTAAACGTACAGGCGTGCGGTGAACTCTGGCAGGTTTAAGATCGTTCATCCTTTTTTTTCCAAGAAGAGCAGAGAAATTGTCTAATGAAAGATCAGACCGTGAGTTTTCTTGTGTTGGAGGCAGAGGGGAGTTGTGTTTTCCTTCTGATTTAATCACACTGATTAGTTGCTCACGCCTAAGAGCTTTCTCTCTGCAAAGACACAACCTTTAGCTCGAGGACGATGTTAAAATGCATCCGCCGTGGAGCTGATGGTTTTGCAGTCTGGCCTTGTACAGCAGTATCTCCTCGTTTGCAGCTGAGCCCCATTTTTTTCTGGCAGTTTGGTGAAACTTGGGGATTTTGCAGAAGGCTGAAGGTGCCCTCAGCCGAAGGGTATGCTATTTGAAAACGGGGGTTTCTTGAGGAGAGGAAATCTGATTTCGTTGTGTTCTTTCGCTGCTGCTACAACCCTGTAAAGTTACTCCTCTTATGCCAGAAGTGCGCGATCCCTCTTTCAGGGAAGAAATGCCATCTGGTTGAATTCAGCCTGCCAGGGGAGTGTGTTATTAAGGCCAAGATTTAACAGCTTTGTGCCCAAAAATTGTTACTCAGAACACACAGAGACGCTGTCTTCCTCCTGCGAGCTGGGGGCTGGTGGTTCTTCCTCGCCGACCCCAAGAAGTCTGGGAAAGCTGCTGCAGTGTGAACAGACGCATCATTTAAACCCCTGAGGTTGTTTTCTCGCTGCAGGCTCCTGCAGATGATAGAACAGAATTAAATACTTTTCTTTCTGGTAACAGCAGGACCGTATTGGAAGTCCTGGGAAGGCTTGGCGCTGCAAGCAGCCCTGCGGTGGGAGAAGGGAGGTGCTTTCAAGATCCGTGGCCTGTTTCTTCTCTTTACCTGGTTTGGGGGTATTTCTTGCATGATTTGCAAACTGATGGGAGCCAGATGGCTATTTCGAAGATGGTGCATCAGACTGCAGGCCATCTTGACTTTGGTTGAAGAGTTTCTTGATTTAGGATGTCTGTATGTATTTAAGCTTTATTTGGTGTTCTGTTTTGAAGTTTCCTTGGGTTTTGAAACTTCTGTTTTGAAATTTCCTTGGGTTATGTTTTCAAGTTTTTCCTGTATGATCGCGGAAGCTGAATGGGAATCGGAGCATCCCCCGTGGGATCATCCTCTGTGGCCCTGCTAGGTCTTCTGTTTCTTGTGGCGGTGGCTGGATGTTGGTGATAGAAACAGCCTGGCACCTCCGAGGTGGCGTGCTTCACGTTGGTTTCTTTCTGCCCAGCCTTGAGTAGTAAATCTCACGAGTGAAGGCTTTGTTCCCCATGCTGTAGCGGAGAGCTCTCGAATGATGAACTCAGGTTATTCTGAGAGCAGATGGTGCGAGAACTGGTAGGTTGCTCTGGTCTTAGCGGCCTTCTGTTTGCAGAGGATTAAACTTACGGAGTCCTTTACAAAAATGTAGGGTAAGGTGCCTGCCACGTCCCTTTCTTTCTTTTGTAAAAGGCCTCAGGCGAATACCGAAAGGAGGAGAGGCTTTGGTGAGGTGCGGAGGGTTGGAGGAGAGGACGGAGATTGGGTCCCAGAGGTCCCGCTGTAGACAGGGTCCCCTTTGCTGGTTGTTTTTCCTAGCTTTTAGGGGCTTGGGACATTTGCATCAATATAGCCCGAGCTGTTCATGTGTGTTTGTGCCAGCCCTGGGCTGAGAGATGACGGGCAGCATCTGACCCGGCTTCATGTTTGCGGGGACGAAATGCATTTGAATGCAGCAAATTTGCGCTAGTCGGCACTTTGCGTTGTGGTGTCCTTGCTGTCATCCGGAGCCCCGTGCCGCTGCCCAGGAAGCTGCCGGATGCCCGGTAAGGCTCAGGAGAGGGGGAAAATGGGAAGGTGGTGACCGGAAAAGTGAGGCATCCTCATGGTTTGGGCAGTTTGCAGCGGGCAGAGAGGCCTCCTTACCTGTGGGAGGCACAAGAAGAAAGCAGAAGATGCGGTCTGCTCTCCTGGCGTGTGTTAGCCAGCTCTGGGGAGGAGAGGAAGTGCTGGGGCGGCGAGTGCCGATCTGGGCCCCCGGAATCTGCCTGTACCGAGGATGCTCGGGGCTCCGTGGCGTCCTCTGAAAACATCTGGGTCTGCAGCTGGTCTGTTCCCGGGCCGGAGGTACGTGAGCAGGGCAAGGATGGAGGGTGGGTAAGACAAAGGTGCGAGAGAGCGAAACCCCGGGGCACCGAGAGTTTTGCACTGCGACTGAGACCTCCTTCCTCATCACCCAGCCCGGCGTGGGGTGACGATATCAGCGAGAGCTGTGCCCTACAAGTGTCATTTCTCATTCCTGGGCAGCTGCATTCAGGACCTGCTCTTCGTTAGCCAACGCGTCTTGTCCTGAGGGTCTGGTCGGTTGTGGGCTGCGGGGATGTCTTCTGTGTTCACCTTAGTTGGTTTGGGTTATTTCTTTTAATCGGTGTTTGCGCTGAATGGGAAATCCCAAGCGGAATTACAGGGGTGCTGTGTTGGCCCAGGAGACGTACAGAGTGTTGTGCGAATGTGAAGGGAGGAAGTAGCTCAGTTTTATTCTTTTACAGGAATGCTATTTATAGCGTGCTGTGCCCCACGAGCTGTGGGTGACACACCTGCCACATAGCGAGCGTTTTGCAGGGGTGGATTTTTGTCTGTAGTTTCATCTGCCGGCAGGCAGAGATCTTGGATGTTGTGAGCTTGTGACTTGCCACGGTCACAGGGGGTTGTGCAGACTCGCCCCAGTGTTTACTTGAGCAGATCACCTGTCTGTTAGGTCCAAAAAGGAATTAGGTGTGCGCGGAAAAGCAAAGCGAAAGCCTTCAGTGTTTGTCCTGCGGAGCTGCCGACGCCGAGGCATGTCTTGTGCTCTCAGTGATGGGCAGCTGCCACGGACAGGTAGCTCTGCTCTAGACGGCTTTGTGGTGGGACCTCTCCAAACCAGGCTTTGGGAACGGCCTTTCCACCATCCTACCCTCTCTCCCCTCCTAGGACATGAACAACCTGGAGGAAGGGGTGGAGTTCCTCCCTGCCATGAACTCCAAGAAGATGGAGAAGCGCGGCCCAAAGCGGCGGGTGGTCGTCGCTGTCGTGATCGTTGTTTTCCTGCTCGTCTCCCTCGTCACCGGCCTCCTGGTCTGGCACTTCAAATGTGAGCATGACGTCTGATGGGTGGTGGTGTGTAGGGCGATACCCTGGGAGCATATCCACCTGGAAAAGCTTCATTATCCTTACTCATGTGTGCCCTCTCTAGATCTGGGAAGGCTCCAGGCAGTGGGGGGACACCATTTCCACCACCACCACCACCCCCCGATTGCCGTTACTGG